AAAGAAAAGAAAGAAAGAAAGAACAGAAAAACCCAAACCACTAGACAGGCGTGTCCTCCACTTCCTGCCACCTGACCCACAACCCACACACAACCTCACCCTTCCCTTTTCCTCCCTGGACAATGGAAGAGGCGTCCTTCCCCTTGAGTGAGTCTAATCTCACCACCTAGCCAGCTGTACCATCCACTTGACTATTTCCCAACTGCAGATGGGAAGAGTCCTTCGTCTAGGTTCAGATCACCATGTGGCTGCCCAGCTTTGTGCAACCCTGGACGAGGGAGCTGACTTCATCTTGACTTCCTTGTCCAGTACAATGAAAGGTCAGAGTGGTACCAGCATGTTTCAGTTCTCACGAACGTAGGGGAAGGATCCAGTGAGTTAATTTGCTCAACATGGCGTGAAATCCTGTTGGTCACATAAGCAGATGTGCTAACAGGTTAGCAGTGTTCCCGGGGAACAGAAGAGAGATTCAGGACAGCCGTGGGTTTTACCCAGTGCCTCCTTCTCATCTCAGATAGGCAAACATCCACTTCCTCTTAATCAGCCTCAGTTTCCCAATCTGTAATTCTGACATGAGATAATGTCTACAAACTTTCCATGACACATACACACCCCTTTGGTTTCCAGTCTGTTCCAGACATACTGGTCTCTCTGTGGTCTCACATCTGCCAGACCCTTCTACCCCAGAGCACACTGCCTCCCTTTAAAAAGGATTGGTTTTTATTCTTGATTGCGTGTAGACGTGTTTTTCTGTTTGTGTGTGTGCACACGGGTGCGCGCCCTGAAAGGCCAGAAGGGGGTGTGGATCCTGTGGAGCCGGAGCTGTGACAGTCTAATGGGTACTGGGAATCAAACCTCCGCACGAGCAGGGCTCACTCTCGCCTTCCAGCCTCTGCTTCTTTTCATATACTCTCTTAATATTATATGACACATAGTTCTAGTTACACATTGCATTTATTTGCTTCTTTTCCTTTCAGAATCCAAGATAGGTTTTTTTTTTTTTTTTTTCTTATTTGGCTAATTTTGTTCATTGTTGTACCCTGGTACCTGGAACCATGCTGGATAGACACACAGTAGGTGCTTAGTAATTATTAGTTGAGGCAGGGGTAAGGCAGGTAGGTTGGAGACTAGAAAGAACAGGAAGGAAGAAGCAAGCTTGCATAAAGAACAGAGCTGGAGGGCTGGGGATGTGGCTCGGTGGGTAGGGTGCCTGTCTAGCGTGTGCTTGTCTGGCATGCATGAAGTCCTGGGTTGCATCCCCATTGCTGAATAAACCAGGCATGGTGATACATGCCTGAAACCCCAATGACAAGAAGTGGAGGCAGAAAGATCAGAGCGTTCAAGGTTACCCTCACCTACGAAGCAAATGTGAGGCCAACCCTGGGGTACACGAGACCTGCCTCAAGATGAAAACAAAAAGAACAGACCTGGCAAAGCTGGGCATGGTGGAGCACACTTGTAACCCCAGCACTTGCAAGGCTGAAGCAGGAAGAGAGCGAGTTCGTGACAAACCTGAGCTACCTGAAAACCCATCTTTCAAATCCAGGGGTGGGGCCAGCGAGGTGGCTCAGTGGATGAAGGCACTTGCCGCCTAAGCTGATGATGACCTGAGTTCCAGCTCCAGGTCCCCACATGATGGAAGAAGAGAACTAACTCCTATAAGTTGTCCTCTGTGTTCCACACATGCACCCCCGCACACACACACACAGAGGCACACATGCACACAAATAAAAAGAACAAACCTACTTTAAAAGAGGAAGTTGGAGAGCAATCAAGGCAGACACCCAACATCAACCTCTGGCTTACACACATACACACACATACACTTGAAGATTGACACATGGATACATACACACACAGGAGGGAGGGAGGGAGGCAGGGAGGGAGGGACAGAGGGTAGAGGGGAGGGGGAGAAGCCTATGGGTGAGGTGAGTACTGACTGAGCCCAACAGTATGGATGGATGCACTTAGTCCCACTGACCTGCCCTGAGAAACAGTTAAAAGGGAAAAGGCACAGGACAATACTGCTGTCTTTGTCTTCCAGGGTGCCCTATTGTCCCCTCCTCCTCTTCTCCCTTCACAGCTTCCCTCAACTCTCTTCCCCACCTTTAAAGCCCTTTATCTCCAAAGCTGGCTCTTTGTTACCACCCCATTTAAAAGTGCCTCAGAGCTGACCCAGAGAGATGGCTCAGCGGTTAAGAACGGTTACTGCTCTTGCAGAAAACCTAGGTTCAGTTCCCTGCACCTACATAGTGGACCACAACTATCTGGGATCCCAGCTCCTGGGATCCAGTGCTCTCTTCTGGCCTCTGTGGTCACCGGGAACACGTGTGACACATATATATAGATGCAGGTAAAGCATTCCAGGGCAGGGGAGACGGTTCCGTGCCGATAGCTGACTGCTCAAGCATGAGAATCTGAATTCAAACTCCCAGTGTCCACATTAAAAACCCCAGGTTTGACCACGAGCCTGTAACCCAATGATTTGATGGTGAAGACAAGAGGGACTCAGGAACTTGACGGATGCCAGCCTAGCACCAGGCTCAGTGAGGGAAATAGCAACAGAATAGGACACCAGATGTCCCCTCCTTCACACAGGTGTATGCACCCATATGTGTGCATACTCCACACATGAACCACACATACTACACAACAGACAACTGAAACCAGTCATGTGTCTCAGCTCCCAGGACTCTTCCCTCTCCCTCATCATCCTCCTGGCTCCCTCACTGATCCTTCCCAGGCCCCAGGTTGCTTCCCCTCGACCTATAAGCTTCTTTGGGTCCCTGTGCACCTTCTTCCTGTTGGGCTGACTGCATATGCTCTGGTATCCTTGACACATCCCTGGCTCTAGCCAGGCACCTTCCCAGACTCCTGTGGGACATGCTGAAGCACCCTGCGCTCCCTTTTAAGAACCCTACCACCATCCCATCACCATCGCCTCATCCCCTGCAGCAGCTAGCCCGTGTTTGTCTCTTCCAGGCTCTGGGTACATCATCCTCCAGTTGACAATCTGCACCTGGATTCCTTACATCACTCGCCATCGGGGCGAATTCCTGTTCATCGGCAGAACCCTGGAACTCGCCTGGGGCTCTAACAGGATCGAGTTTCATCGTGTTGACCCAGCCCACCAGACAGTGAGCTTAGAAATGATGCTACACACTTGTTCATTAGTGCATTCATTAATTCATTCATCACAAATTGTTAAGTGACCGCGCCATGGAAACCAAAAAGGTGCTGAGCAAGTTGAGTGAGCTCCTCGGAGTTCAGAGTCTGGTGGGAAGAGGAAGAGGACGCTTCTGTGATGAGGTTGTGATGGGTGGGCAGGTCATGGAGGCTTCTCTTCTTCACGGCTTCATCCCCAACCTTTTGCCAGCAGCCCTGTGGGACCATAGCCCTTTGTTACCCCTTCTTCTTCTTCTTTCTTTCCTCCTCTTCTTTTTCTTCTTCCTGCCCTCCCTCCTCCTCTTCTGGCATGGAACTATATCACCTAGGGTGGTCTCAAACTCAGGGTAATCCCTCTGCCTTGGCCCCTTAAGTGCTGAGATTACAGGTGTGAGCCACCATACCTACCATTCAGGGCATTCTTCTGAGGAAAAGGAATCCTATTGTGCTTTAAACTTTTCATGAAGATAATTAATTGCACAGTCAGCCTTAGTTCCACAGTCAGGAAGGAGAAACCCATGTGCCTTCTCCACAATGACCCCAACAGTGATATCTGGTCTGCCTGGATTCCAGTACAAGCCTGGAAGTAGACACGCTGAGCTTACATATGGCTCCTCCAAGGGCATCCGTCTAAGTGTGCGAACATACGCATATGGGTTTCTCTGATATTTTCTCCTGTGTAGGGCCCAGCAAGAATTGTCTCAGCGGGGCTGGCCCTGTGCCTCTGATCCTGTATCAACAGAGATTCCTTCTCTCCTCATGAGCGTGTCTCCACACTCATCTTGCTGCTGGGCCTTCAGATCAGCTAGTAAGTGAAGGCCCTGGTTATCAAAAAGAGTTCAGAGAGAGCCAGGCACGCAGATTCCCACAGGTGTGCCGATAGGCCCAGGAGAAGCACCATCCCAGAGAGACAGCCACAAGCAGCTTCTCCAGGAAGAATGTCACTGAGAAGCAAGGTGAGGTGGGGTGAGGAGAGAGACTGCAGGCCATGAGTCACCGCGTGGTCCAGGCACGGGGCTGCCAAGGCCCAGAGAAAAATTATAATCATTAGGTACTTTAAAAGGCTGGGGGAGGATCTAAGAGGGGCGGGTTGCAATGGGACCCCCAGCTCCAAGGCCCACTACAGGCTCACCTCAGCTCACCTTTCATCTCTCCTTCCTGTCTTCTCTGGGCCTGTGTCCCTCTCTCTCTGTCTCTCTCTGTCTCTCTCTCTCTCTCCTCTCTCTCTCTCTCTGTCTCTTTCTCTCTGTCTCTGTCTCTCTCTCTCTCTCACACACACACACACTGGGCCCTTGTCTGTCTCTGAGTCTGCTGGGTCTGCTTTCTTGTCTTTATGGGTATCTATCTATCTATCTATCTATCTATCTATCTATCTCTATTTGTCTATCTGTCTGTCTGCCCCCCCCCGTCCCTCCCAGTGTCATCTTGGAGCCCCCACCCAGATTCTACCCATCCACTGCATACTTTTTGACTGGGCTTCACCTATGAGCTGCCCTCCCCCCATTCTTTCCAGATTATAGCATCTTTCACTGGGCGGGCTCCCATTAATAACCGTGTCTACTTCTCTGGCCAGAGACGGGAGGGAAGGAAGCAGAGTATCTTGGAATGGAAACAAGACAATAAAAAAAAAAAAAAAGTCAGAAGGGCGGTGGGGGGCAGGGCCAGCTGCCCAGACCAGGGATAAAAGGCTTTGCTGGTGTGTCCAGGAAGAGACACCACCCCTGCCTCTGTCACACTTGCAAGGAGCCAGAGTGACTGGAGCCTGGTAGGCATCTTCTCTTTACAGCCAGAGGAGCCTGTGACCCCGTCTTTGCAGCTCTGGCCTCCACCACTCTGTTCTGCCCCCATGTCACCAAGGGTCTGGGCCTCAGTGTGAGTGGCGCTCACTGCCCCTGAGTCTGTTTCCGGTTCTTTCTCCTCCACTTCCTCTTTGAATTTGTTAGAACTGGACGTCCAGCTCCAGGATGCTCCTTCTACTGACTGTACTCCAAGCCTTGGCTCTAGGTAAGAGCAATGGGGTCCCTGGAGACTCTGGGATGAGCCAGGGATGGATTCTGGGGTTTAAATATGCTCTTGGGGACATCCTGGTTAGAACGAGACTAGAGGGGCTGGGAGATGCTCAGCCTTGTAAACACAAAGGTCTGAGTTTAATCCCCCCAGAGCTCACTCTAAAACAAGAAAAATAGGATGCAGGGGGGTATTGTAATTCCAGCACTGGGGAGGCAGAAGACAGGAGCCCACTGGGGCCCACTGACCAGCCAGCCTAGCCTAATGCACAAGTTCCAGGCCACTGAGAGACCCTGCCCTCCCCCAATAGAAAGATGGATGGTGCCTGATGAATGACAAATGACACCTGAAGTTGGGTTCTGCACACACACACACACACATACACACACACACACACATGCACACACACACACACACACACACACACACACACAGAGAGAGAGAGAGAGAGAGAGAGAGAGAGAGAGAGAGAGAGAAGCATGGCTGAGGACATCGATTAATTAGAAGTTCATGCCCTCATTCCAAGTTTGGAGACACCAGGAAACAGGACTGGGGAGAGAGGCAGCTCCAAGAAATGGAGAAAATCAGGAATCAGGGAGACTCTGACATCTCAAGTGGCTTCTATCTGAAGAGGCCCATGGGGCTGAGTTGGTCACATCAGGGGAGATGAAAGTGGAGTGTGAAAGGGTGGAGGGGGTCTGGGGGAAGAGTGAGATCCCAGAGGCCATACTGAGTGGGAAGATTTGGGGGGACACTCATGTGTTGAGGAAGGACAATGGGGAGCACCGGAAAGCCAGGGAGCTGGCTCAGCAGTTACATCACTTGCCACTCAACCTTGAGCGGAGTTCAGATGTCCAGAACCGACATAGATGGCAGCTGTTTGTGATGAGCATCCTTTAATTCCACCTTTGGAAGGCAGAGATGCGGATCCCTAAAGGAAGCTGGCTAGTGAGACTACCGAGGAGGGTGAGCCTTGGATTCGGTTTTGAGAATCTACCTCAGTGAATAACATGGAAAAGTGATCAAGGAAAATTCCCAACATACCTTCGGGCCTCCACATACATGTCTATAGGCAAACACACTATACACCCATCCCGTATGTGTGCCAACATACATGCAAACACACGCACACGCATGCACACATGCGTACATACCACATGAAAATGGGAAAACAAAAATAGACATGGGTACCATGAATGCTGGTGCGTTCTGTGATTTCCAGCACGTGGGAGGCTGAGGCGGGAAGAACTCTGGTGGTTCAAGGCCAGCCTCCAACATAGTGAGACATCTTGTCAACCCAAAGGAAAGAAAGTGCTGATGGAAGCGTGGAGTCAAAGACTAGCTATAGCAAGGCCCTGGATGAGTTGGACATGAACACAATAACAGAAACCATGGAGGTCAGTTGAGGAAGGGGTCAGAAAAGTCCCTGTTTGTGCTGGGGGTAATGATGAATGCATATCACATTTGCTAGAGCAGAAAGAGGTGGACAGCAAGCATAGGTGTTGGGCCACAGGGAAGTGTCTCTGTCTGCTGGGCATTGTTCAGAGCTGGGGACTAGAGGACACGTGTTTATTTTCTTTCCCACTCACCCCATTTCCTCTAGCCATGGTCCAGAGTCAAGGAGATCATAAAATTATTGGTGGCTACACATGTATCCAGAACTCCCAGCCTTGGCAAGTGGCCCTGCTAGCAGGTCCTGGGCGTCGCCTTGTGTGTGGAGGGGTCCTGATATCAGACCGGTGGGTCATCACGGCTGCTCATTGTGCCCGCCCGTGAGTGACTCTTGTTCTTATGTCGGGAACTTACAGATCCCAGGGTCCCAGACTTCAGCTGTAAACCCAGATCCTTGTATAGAGCACAGCACAGGAGCTAGGTCATGATCTGGAGTGGAGAAAGGGGTCTAGACTGAGAGGCATAGTCCAGAGTATGGAGCCCTGACATCAAGGACCCAGCTTCACTCACAGGCCTATTCAGAACTCAAAACCAAGAAACCTGCATGGTCACAGCAACTGAGTGAAGAACTCCAAATTGTTCATGAGGATAGCCCATGAGAGGAAGGAATGTCAGATGAGGTTGGGCAAAGAGAGAATGCCTAAGCCACGAGAAGGGAAAGACACGGGAGGCCAGAGGTGCTCAGCCCTCAGCTAGAGGGACATGGGTTAGACTCTGCGTGAAATTAATCACCACAGAAGAAAATGGGGGCTGGAGCATGCTCTGTGGTCAGACTTTAAGCAGCGTTTACTCTTGGGGTTTGGGGACAGGGTTCTTCACGCAGCCCTGGGCAAGCACAACCTAAGACGGTGGGAAGCGACTCAGCAGGTGGTGCGTGTGGTTCGCCAGGTACCGCATCCCCAGTACCAACCCCGGGCCCATAACAATGACTTGATGCTGCTTCAGCTGCAGAAGAGAGTGCGGCTTGGGCGAGCAGTGAGGACCATTGATGTGGCCAGGGTCTGTGCCAGCCCAGGGACCCCCTGCCGGGTGTCAGGCTGGGGGACCACAGCCAGCCCCGTTGGTAAGGAACCCTCACCCTGGGTCCCTGGGTCTGAGGGAGGAGGCTGACCCTGGACCCCTGGAGCCACAGTTCTTTAGTTGGGACCCTTTTGTGCCCCTCCTCAGCCAGGTACCCCAATGCTCTGCAGTGTGTGAATGTCAACATCATGTCAGAGGAGGTGTGCCGTCGAGCATACTCTGGAGCCATCACATCTGGCATGGTCTGTGCCGGGGTTCCTGGCGGTGGAAAGGATTCCTGTCAGGTGAGGCCCAGATTTGTATCTGGGACAGTTTGGGGCTTGGTCTTGAGTACCACAGTATCTCAATAACAGAGAAGTCGGAGGCTGTGGCTGGAAAGAGACCTCAGGGGTACAGAGGTACAGCAATCACCCAGCTGCCTTGCCTTGTAGCCATATGCTCCTTTGGACTTAGCCCTACTATACCTCAGTTTCCTGTTTTGTCCAGGAACTTCCTAGGCCTGCAGAAGCGGCATAGAGTGTACACTGTGGAAGAGAGGCCAAGACTGGGGGTGTGAAGAGACACAGAGTAGTCTGGAGATATGGCCGAGGTGGGGGGCATCAGATCCAGGGAGGGAGCCTGCGGTGGTGACACGCACAGGGAAGGGACTGCCCTGGCCTGAGTCAGAGGTCAGAGGGGCCTTCGTTTACCTCCTGTGACTGATCCTATTCCCACGCCCCCTCCTCGCAGGGTGATTCTGGAGGACCCCTGGTATGTGGAGGACAGCTCCAGGGTCTTGTGTCCTGGGGAATGGAGCGGTGTGCCATGCCTGGCTACCCAGGGGTCTACACAAACCTGTGCAATTACCAAAACTGGATCCAGAGGACGATGCGGGGCAACTGACCATCCATTACTGTCCCTGTCCAGCTGTCCCTGAACGTTCACTGCCTCCGTCAGACTCAGGAGCCTCCTCAGCTTTTCTCCCCCCACTTAAGACTAGTCCCCAGCCTCCTCCCTCAGACCCAGGTCCCAGGCCCCAGCCTCCTCCCTCAGACCCAGGGGTCCAGACCCAGCCTCCTCCCTCAGACCCAGGCCCCAGCCTCCTCCCTCAGACCCAGGCCCCAGCCTCCTCCCTCAGACCCAGGCCCCCAGGCCCAGCCTCCTCCCTCAGACCCAGGCCCCCAGGCCCAGCCTCCTCCCTCAGACCCAAGCCCCAGCCTCCTCCCTCAGACCCAGGCCCCCAGGCCCCAGCCTCCTCCCTCAGACCCAGGTCCCAGCCTCCTCCCTCAGACCCAGGCCCCCAGGCCCAGCCTCCTCCCTCAGACCCAAGCCCCAGCCTCCTCCCTCAGACCCAGGCCCCCAGGCCCAGCCTCCTCCCTCAGACCCAAGCCCCAGCCTCCTCCCTCAGACCCAGGCCCCCAGGCCCAGCCTCCTCCCTCAGACCCAAGCCCCAGCCTCCTCCCTCAGACCCAGGCCCCCAGGCCCCAGCCTCCTCCCTCAGACCCAGGTCCCAGGCCCAGCCTCCTCCCTCAGACCCAGGGGTCCAGGCCTCAGCCTCCTCCCTCAGACCCAGGTCCCAGGCCCCAGCCTCCTCCCTCAGACCCAGGTCCCAGGCCCCAGCCTCCTCCCTCAGACCCAGGTCCCAGGCCCCAGCCTCCTCCCTCAGACCCAGGTTCCAGGCCCCAGCCTCCTCCCTCAGACCCAGGTCCCAGGTCCCAGGCCCCAGCCTCCTCCCTCAGACCCAGGCTCCCAGGCCCCAGCCTCCTCCCTCAGACCCAGGTCCCAGGCCCCAGCCTCCTCCCTCAGACCCAGGTCCCAGGCCCAGCCTCCTCCCTCAGACCCAGGCTCCCAGGCCCCAGCCTCCTCCCTCAGACCCAGGTCCCAGGCCCAGCCTCCTCCCTCAGACCCAGGGGTCCAGGCCTCAGCCTCCTCCCTCAGACCCAGGGGTCCAGGCCTCAGCCTCCTCCCTCAGACCCAGGTCCCAGGCCCAGCCTCCTCCCTCAGACCCAGGGGTCCAGGCCTCAGCCTCCTCCCTCAGACCCAGGGGTCCAGGCCCCAGCCTCCTCCCTCAGACCCAGGTCCCAGGCCCCAGCCTCCTCCCTCAGACCCAGGTCCCAGGCCCCAGCCTCCTCCCTCAGACCCAGGTTCCAGGCCCCAGCCTCCTCCCTCAGACCCAGGTCCCAGGTCCCAGGCCCAGCCTCCTCCCTCAGACCCAGGCTCCCAGGCCCCAGCCTCCTCCCTCAGACCCAGGTCCCAGGCCCCAGCCTCCTCCCTCAGACCCAGGTCCCAGGCCCCAGCCTCCTCCCTCAGACCCAGGTCCCAGGCCCAGCCTCCTCCCTCAGACCCAGGGGTCCAGGCCTCAGCCTCCTCCCTCAGACCCAGGTCCCAGGCCCAGCCTCCTCCCTCAGACCCAGGCTCCCAGGCCCCAGCCTCCTCCCTCAGACCCAGGTCCCAGGCCCAGCCTCCTCCCTCAGACCCAGGGGTCCAGGCCTCAGCCTCCTCCCTCAGACCCAGGGGTCCAGGCCTCAGCCTCCTCCCTCAGACCCAGGTCCCAGGCCCAGCCTCCTCCCTCAGACCCAGGTCCCAGGCCCCAGCCTCCTCCCTCAGACCCAGGTCCCAGGCCCCAGCCTCCTCCCTCAGACCCACTATCCTTGCCCTTACTCCAGGCTCCCCCTTCCTTCCCAGGATCTTGACTCTGCAATCTCTCACAGCTTTTTGTCACAGTTTGAGACTTACTGAGTCCAGAAGCTGGAGTACAAATACTCTGGGCCAGCATCCATATCCGAAAAAAGGCTACTTCCAAAACTCCTACTGTCTCTAAAACCCAAATAAATAAAAACAAAAATGGAATCATCCCAATTTTCCTTTCTGTTCTTCATTAGTCCGTTCCCTGGAACGGCGTGTGCTGTGAAAGGGGCTGCCTGGGGCACTGATCTCTTCCCTGGGGTCTGCCCACCACAGTCCATCCACTGTGCTGGGTTCCCTACCTCTGACCTGTCTCATTCCCAGGTCACTGCACACAGAGGATCTTCCTTCTGCTCGTCAGAACAGGAGGAGGACAGCTGGGTTCAAGTCCCAGCAAAGCCTGTCTCATTCTGCCTGTTCATTTCCAATCTTCGTCCCTGGCTCCAAGCCCCATAGAGGCAGGACACAAGTGATCTTGAATGCCAGGGTCTGGACCCAGCCCTCCTCCCTTAGACACAGAACATGAGTATGATTCAGAGATGGCAGATTTTGCTGGCCTCGTGCAAGCCATCCCTAACTTCCCCAAGACTCTTAGGTCATGAATCTCCTTCTCTTTTTGTCTTTTTCTCCTCAAGTACTATTTATTGGACGCCTACTATGAGCAGTCATTTGTCTATTTGAATACCTACTGTGCAGTCCTCAGTGTAATAGCTGAAGAAGAAGCATTCAAGAGTCCATCCCAAATCCCTGCTTATGCAACCTCTATTCTGGCTGTGGGCAGCCCAAAGGAAATAGTAAACACTATAAAAGTCAAGAGGAGGTCCCCGTGAATAAGAAGGCCATTCAACTCGGCTGAAGGGCAGTGGCCATTGATGCTTACAAAAAACAACTGGAGAAGCCTGAAGCGTTTAAGAGCTGGTTGATAAACACAACCATTGTCAAAATTCATTGACATAAATTTGCAAGGGAACAATTTGAAAAATAAAATCAAAGGGCCAGAGAGAGGGCTCAGCAGTTGAGAGCTGGGCTGCTCTTGCAGAGGACATGGGCTCAGTTCCCAGCACCCACATGTAGGCTCACCGTCTGGAACTCCAGTTCAGGAGGTCAGACACTGTCTTCTACTTGCTGTGGGCACGGAATGCACATGGCACACAAATACACATGCACACAATGCACACACACACACACACACACACACACACACACACACAAATAAATACATTTTAATGAATCAATCCATACAACAGCATTTCCACTTCAAGCTAATAGCTGTCTGTGAGTACTGCAGCCTATCTGTCCATTTTTTTGTTTGCTGTTACAGGATGGGTGATATAAGCCGCCTGAGGTTTTAGTTTATTTCAGCTCACCATCCTGGTGAGGAAGGGTTGGAGGACAGAGGGAATGTTTCAATTTAAAATGCCCTGGGCCTTAAGAAGCCTTCTTCCGTGGTGGAAATGTTCTACCCAGAGGCATGTACACGCATGTGTGTGAGGGATGTGGGGGTCAGAGGTCAACCTCAGGTGTCATTCATCAGGAGATGTTCACCTTGTTATTTGAGACAGAGTCTCTCACTGGTCAAGAGGAAGCATGCTGATGAAGGTAGGCTATCTAGAACATAAACCCCAGGTTCAGATCAGGGTTGCAAGTACATGCCACCACGCCAGCTGTTTGTTTGCTTGCTTGTTTTTGTTTTTTGAGACGGAGTTTCCCTGTGTACCTTTGGAGCCTGTCCTGGAACTAGCTTTTGTAGACCAGGACGGAATCGAACTCACAAAGATCCGTCTGCCTCTGGGAATAAAGGTGTGCACCACCACCACCCATCTTTTTTTTTTTTTTTTAATTAATTTTTATTTAAACTAAAAACAATCTTATTTTACATCCAATCCCAGATCCCTCTCCCTCCCATCTTCCCATTCTCCACACCATTTCCTCACCCCATGCCCATCCACTCCTCAGGGAGGGTGAGGCTCCTATGGGGGATCATCAAAGTCTGTCACATCATTTGGGGCAGGACCTAGGCCCTACCCCATGTATCTAGGCTGAGAGAGTAACACTCTATGGGGAATGGGCTCCCGAAGTCTATTCATGCACTAGGGATAAATACTGGTTCCATTGCCAGAGGCCCCATAGACTGCCCAGGCCTCCCCATCTGACACCCATGTTCAGGGGGCCTAGTCTGCTCCTATGCTGGTTCCCCAGCTGTCAGACTGGGGTCCATGAGCTCCTCCATGTTCAGATCAGCTGTTTCTGTGGGTTTCTCCAGCATGGTCTTGACCCCTTTGCTCATCACTCCTGCCTCTCTGCAACTGGATTCTAGGAGTTGGGCTCAGTGCTTAGCTATGAATCTCTGCTTCTGCTTCCATCAGCTACTGGATGAAGGCTCTAGGATGGCACTTAAGGTAGTCATCAATCTCATTACAGGGGAAGGCCATTTAAGGTAGCCTCTCCCCTATTGCTTAGATTAATAGTTGGGGTCATCATTGTGGACTCCCGAAGATTTCCCTAGAGTCAGATTTCTCGTTAAACCCATAATGGCTCCCTCTTTCCATGCTCTCCTTCTCTGTTCTTCCCCCAACTCGACCTTTCTGATCTTTCATGTTTTCCTCCCCCTCCTCTTCTCCCCTTCTCTTTCCCCTCCCTCCGTCCCTCTCCCCTCCCCACCATGCCCCCAATTTGCTCATGAGATCTTGTCCCTTTCCCTTCTCCAGGGGTCCATATATGTCTCTCTTAGGGTCCTCATTGTTTCCCAGCTTTTCTGGCAGTGTGGATTGTAGGCTGGTGATCCTTTGCTCTGTCCACTTATGAGTGAGTACATACCATGTTTTTCTTTGTGCCTAAGTTACCTCACTCAGGATGGTTTCTTCTAGCTCCATCCATTTGCCTGAGAATTTCAAAGTGTCATTGTTTTGCCGATGAGTAGTACTCCATTGTGTAAATGTACCACATTTTCTTTATCCAGTCTTTGGTTGAGGGGCATCTAGATTGCTTCCAGGTTCCAGCTCTTACAAATAATGACCCTATGAACATAGTTGAACAGATGTCCCTGTGGTATGGCTGTGCATCCTTTGAATATATACCTAAGAGTGGAATTGCTGGATCTTGAGATTTTTCCTGAGAAACAACAATAGTGATTTCTAAAGTGACTGTACAAGTTTGCACTCCCACCAGCAATGGAGGAGTGTTCCCCTTTCTCCACACCCTCTCCAGCATAAACTGCC